ACCCCCCCCCCCCCTTTGCTTTGCACTCTTATTATCATTATTATTATTTCTATATATTTAACCAAATAAAATAAAAATAAAAAAATCCATCCCATTCATTCATTCAACCCACAAGTGGCCACCAATAAAGCTAAAGCTTTTTCTCTTTCTAATTACGTGTCGTCTAATATTAATTTCCCAGCCCCAAAAATAATCTTCAACCCAAAATATTTTGATCCAAACCAAGCGTGGCATGGTTGAAGAGGAGAACGGAGCATTTTAAAACCTTAAGGAGAAGTCTAGACGGGAAAGCACAAAAAAGACTATATCTAGTAGCGGTAGACTTGAGGTGTTACAAATTGAGGAGAATAGAATGTAAAGAGAACAATCTCTGCTAACGGTGGATTACGAATCTGATGTGATGAAAGTAAGTGTAAAAGGATAATGTATTTTTTAGAATTGCAACTCTTAAAAGGATAAGGGTATAGGTTGGGAGAAAAGTCTTTACATTTGAAAATAACAATTCATATCAATTTTTATTTATTATGTTGACTAAGTTTTGATTTCTAACAACAAAACTGAAAATCATTTATTTTCAGAGTTTCAAAGTCCCAAACTTTGAAAGCTTTAGGAAGTGAATTCAAACGTTACACTGTGGGAATGAAACTTTTTGTATTAAAAAAATATAGGATAGATCTTGCGTTATAAGAAAGATATAATGAACTATCGACTTTTGGGAGTTATCTCAATCTTTGATATGTTCCTCCATGTAGGCAACAGAGCAGATCGAGCTATCTCTACGCTCAAAGCATCCAATTTGTGTCATTTTATCTTCTAAGGTTTCAACACAAAATATATTATAGTCATATCTCTTATAGTATATCTTGAAAGAGGTTGCCTCGAGAAGGTATAGATATCAAAAGTGTCGGGAAAGTTATACACTTCTTGAATGCTTGTTGTAAAGACGAACCTTCACAATCAAATTTGTGAATGCCAAACGCATTCATTTTGCTTCAACACACACGGATATGACAGTAGAGTATGATATTGTAGTGAATATGGTTAAGTGTACATGGTGTTCCTTTTGAATGTCGTCTATTGTTAAACCAATGTTTTGATTTTGAACAGTGAATATATTATATTGTAAAGATTTAGAGAGAGAAAAGGGAAAGAAAGAGGTGGGTTGGGTTGGGCATGTGAAGTGTTTTTTGTTTGGTTTCAGCTTTTAGTTTGATATACAATGAACCAAACTAGAAGGGTTGGTGATCAGTTGAATGGCAATGGACCCAAATGGGGAAAGGAAGAGCTTTATTTTTTCAATGTTCTTTCAATTTGTGAAAGGAAAAAGTGAACCATAGATAGTGTTGTTCCCTACCTACATATACCACCTGCATCTTCTTTAATATCACTCTCTCACTAAACTAAATATATACAATTTTGTGTTTAATATCTATTTATTTAGTAGCTACTGTAGTGTGTAGTGTGTGTTCCCAGTTAACGTCCCAGTCCCATTATTACTATCGCATGGAGTTTGAGAGATTCAATTCTATAAGTCTATGTTGCTTTGGTAGCTAATTTTTCAAGATTAAATCTCTTTTCTAGCTTGAATAAGTTAGGAAAGAGAGAGCAAACAAAAACAAAAACGGTACCAATCTAAGGTTGAATGCACCCTAAATTTTTTACTTAATCTTCATTGTTCATATAACACATAACAAACTCTAAAAATATGAAGACGTTCATATAACAAAAAAAAACAAAAATAATTGCAACTTTGTCAACGAGGCGTGGGAAAGGCAATGTACTATGACTTATCCGTTGTCAGAAAATTTAGTTCCAATAATTGCTTGAATGAAGTGCATAGGGAATAGGCATAGTCCAAGTTCTGCCAGACCAAAAGAAATTATGCGTTCATACTCAAAAAGTCATCTTCTTTTAGAACAGAGTTTATTAATCAATCAATCATAAGCTTATTGTACTTGAATTATAATAATATAAAAATTAAAATATATATATATATTTGTGTGTTTAGGTTAGGCCAAACCAGAACACTTGATTGATTATACAAACAACAACAAACCAGGCTCTCTCAAGGATCATTAGGTTAGGCTAAAAACGCAGAAGCAAAGGAAATTTGGATAATTAGTTCATTTCAAAAATTTTCACATGGGCTCCCTCTGTCTCTACCAAATCTCAACTGTTACAAGAACTTCCAAGTCAAACCCAAAATAAAACGAAAAGAAAAAAGAAGAAGAAAGTGGGGTATAGCAGAGGGAGGAAGCCTCATCAGATCACGTCAAACCAGGACAACATATCTCCAGGACCAAATACTCATATACATGAAAACTCTTTCCCTTTTTCAATGCCCATCTCTTATAATATATAATAGTAATAATAATAACAATAAATATATCACTCTCACAATCAAAATTTGGAGGCTTTTCCAGATGCTCCCTCCTTCAACTATTGTCTTTTTTTTTTTTTTTTGTTCTTTTTCTTCCCTTTGGAGGAAGGGGGGCGTAGAGTAGAGGGGTGGGGAGAGGAAGATGGAGACCCACTTAGCATTGGCTAAGCTAAACCATTCCTTCTCTAATGTCACCAACTGCAGCGAATGTCCCTACCTGCCTTCAGCCACTATAAAAATTACGTCAAAACAACTTTGGTGGATATATAGTTTTAAGTTACTCCTCCCTCCTCTAAGGTTAGTGAACACAAAAATTATGGTACTGGCTGCTCCAAATCCTTTACAACACATGAAGAAGATGCATCTCCACTGGAACAATTCTCACCATTTCCAGAAATTAATAGACCTTCATCAGGGTTTTCGTCCTGGGTGTTGGTTCGGCCTTTTCCAGGCCTAGTACGAACATTTACCCCCATTGGAAACGGAACCTGTAGAAGAAGTACATGTTCAGCAAACAAACAGCCATTGTTCCACCATTTCAAAATTTTCGTATGTTATTCTATTTCATACCTGATCGCCTGCATTGGGGCCATCAGTGTTGAAAAGGATTGGTCGACATCGCTTATCTTCATTCATTAAACTTGAATTCTGGAAATGAGCGATAAGGGCAGCTTTTCCCTGTATGCGAGCATATGCAAGTGACGCCACCTTCTCACTATTGAATTTCTCCCATTTTTTCCCATTAAATGCCTGCAAGTATGGTACTGTTTGTCAATAAAAACTTAGCACCTATCACCTCAATATCCTGCAAGCTTCAGTAGCATACCAACCTCATAGAATGGAATAATTAGGCTAGGATCAGTCATGTTAATGAACGCATATCCCACGTTACATTTGTTCTGCAACCAACCATAGGGTGTACAAGCAAAAAAATTGTCATGGACAGAACGAAGGAAAATATTACTGCGGCACTGAACATGGAAAAACTTGCCTTAAAGTCAATAGGCAGATAGATGAAGTCATAAGTTCCTCGATGTCGTTCATCAATTGCAGCTAAAAGCATCTTTGATGTATATCTGCAGTTACAATCATGATGGATTACTAGCTTTCTGACAAAACCAAGATGGGACGAACAACTGACATTAGACACTATTAGAACATTATGAATTAGAAACGAGAGGATATTGCAGATAATACTATCAATTCTGCAGTTTAACATCATTACGTCCCTGCATTAATTAGCACCACTTACGTACTCAAAATAACAGACCTACCTGATGAAGTGGCATTCCATTAAAATGACGTTGTCTAGAAGCGCCTATAACACATTTACAAATATTACCATTTCTCTAGAAGGAAAGGTAACTACACCATCACTCAGGAGAAGACTGTCCTAATCTTTTTAGATATAATAACCTCAGTATCACAAATGAAAAGCAAATGTAGTAGAGTGAGGTAACTGTCTCACAAGAATAGACGAGGTGCGTAGATTGGCCCAAACATTCACACATATAAAAGGTAACAAATAATAGAAAAAAAATGAAAAGAAAAATTAGTTAATGACCTACGAATGGAAATTAAGATAACAAGTAAACTCGTCCATGCAAAAGAAGAGCATATTACTCAATAATCAACACGTCAATGTACCTATCTTATTTTGATTGGAAACTGAGATAGAGGGTGATTACGAGGGGGGGAAGAAAAAAAAAAAAGAGAGAGAATTAAAGAGAAAAATACTAACTTGTTAGGAATGTTCTTTATCATAAGCGTAGTACGATTGTCTTCACCCCTCAATATGCGATCAATGTCAAGTTCATATTGCTTCTTATCTGCCTGATTAGAGGCTGCTTCATTTCTTCGGCTTCTACCACGTTCATTGGAAGAGTCAAATGAATTCATCATTGGGAGAATTTGGCCTCGTCCAGGAAAAACCATGCACCGCTGATGATGGGATTGAAGTCCTACATTCCTTTGGGGGATAGGGAGCTCTACAGAATTTCCACCAACTTGTGGGAAGATATGAGAGAAAAATTCCACAGACTGTGGTGAATTGTTAGGCAGATTCATATTCCCTATAGAACCTGAATGAAACCCAGAGGCTTTCGACAGTTCCCCAGCATAAGCATGTTGTCTATCCCAAATAGAAGGATTAACAGCTGGAGCTGATCCAACGTGGTGATTATTCATGGGCAGAACTGTGTGCATCAAATGAGATGCTGCTCTTGGAACTCCATGGACTTGGGTTGGGGTGTGGGCAGCAGGAATTCCGTTCATATAAGATGGAGAATTTGGCCAAACAACACTAGGAGCTGGCGGCTGGGGCCGGTAGGAGTTACCCCATGTATAATGTGGTCCAGGAATGGGGCAAGTTCTGTTACCACCAGATGCAAAAACTGCAAAAACAGTAACATCCAGCTAAATGAAAGCATGAGAAAGCTTAAAAAATCAACCTCTCATCCTGACGGAAGTAAATTGTCAACCATTGATATTTACAGAAAATGAAATAGCTTCTGGTCGGTAACGATCATTTAAAAATAAAGGTTCTTCTACCTACAATGGGAATTGGAACCAGTCAAACACTATTCGCCAGTGAAGATCTCAGGCAATCACTTTTCTAGTTCTTACAGGAAACGTACTTAATAGTTTAGAAAAATAATAATAAGGTTGATGATGCTAATATCATAAAAGTACTGAAACAAGACTGAGAACAAAGGAAGAGACAATGCACCCCCCAAAACATACCAAGGGTCAGAAAAAGCTCTCCGGCTGATATCAATAGAAATGGAAAAAAAAAAAAAAAAAAAAAAAACAATGAATGGTTGATTGTCTCCAATCAGCTACATAGTGAACCGACCAATTCAATTGATCATTGTAAGTGAAGACCCCTTATCAAAGAGTTAAAGCAGACTTTCAATATCATTACAGGACAGGTCGTAAAATAAATCAACTAAACTTACCATCTTCATTCAATTCAATAGAGCGACCATTAAAGTTTACAAGCTGCCTGCTATCAGCTCTTTCGGGTGGTCGTAGACTGATGTTTCCTGCAATCGTATTCAGAGAATTGCAGTGAACATTGTTGTTCAAACTATCAGGATGTTCTGGAAGCGAATGAGGATGAATAGCTGGAGCTGCCCGGATACCCAGCTTTAGTGGTGAAGGTGAATGACCAGAGTCAATAAAGCCAGATTGCTTGCCAATTGATTCAGATCTCATCACAGAAGGTAAGCTACTAGGAACACTGGAGGATATTCCATGATGCAACTCGGTCTCCCGAGATGGAGCTCGTATCATAGAGTGTACACCAAGAACGGATCCATTACTCATGCTGCTAGATTTGATAGTCCCACTAGGAACTAATCCTGCAATATTTTTTCTCTTGTGAGACAAACAAAATACTCAGAATTCACAAGTAACGAGAATGATTTTCTTATGGCTATAATACCAGAGAAGCCGGCACTACAACTAACAGGAGGGCTACCCTGTTGTAAATAGAGACCAATATCTTCCCGCTCCAACTGTGGATGTAATTGTTGCACCAAACTGTGGCACAAAGATAAATAAAATAATTTTTTTACTGTTAGCATCCACTAACATCTCGTTTCTTTTAATTGTAATCTGTTGGAGGTCAAAACTATTTTATTTTTAAAGAGGAAGGGATTGAAACTAAGCATGAATAAGCATCAAAAGTGCACAGGTTTCTGAACCTTCGTCTCACAGCACCAGGATGACTTGGCTCAAGCTTTATCTGCTTTCCTGCTATATCACTCAGGTTTAATGCACAAAGAGCAGCCTCTGCAGCTCGGATATCATAAAATTCAATGAATTTATAATGACTTCTGTGGGGAGCTTCACGAATCTGCAATTTATGAAGAATAATGTCAGATTCCTCAGAGCACATTATGGAATGCAATGATAAAAATTGAATCCCAGACCCACCTCCTTGATTTCTCCGTAGACACCAAATATCTGACGAAGTTCTTCATTTGAAACAGAAGACTCAAGGTTAAAAACAACAAGAGTTCCTTGGTTAATATCTTTTTCAGATGGATTGTCCTGAAAAAGTAGTACAGAGAAAGATGTGAGGAAGCAAAGAGGTCATGAAAGAATTTAAGGCAGATATTTTGATGTGGTTAGAATTACAGAGTAAGAATAAATCTCCACAAAATTCCAATACTTCTTCTAAGGCAGCTAGCTAACCAAACTGGAAAAACAAATAAAATAATAGCTCAACTAGTTATGACACCATACGTCTCTTTTAAAGGTCAGCATTTCAATTCCCCACCACTAATGAGTTGAACTCAAAAAAGATGAGATAACACTGGACAGAAAATCTATTAAACAGAAACCAACCTTCGGTATAGAATAATGTATGTCAAGCTTCCTTCGTCTCAACGGTTTATTCTGGAGTGCTTTCATTGCATTACGGGCAGCTCTAATATCATAATAGGAAATCATAACAAACCCTCGATGTTTGCATGTTGTATAAAGAGTGCGAATGTCTCCATATTGCTGCAGATTTTTAATCAAAAGTAAGATATATTAATTAGCGCGAGATGTAACTTTGAAATGCACAATGGAAACAACATTGAAAGTTAAGAAAATGTGCACCTCAAAAAGGAGCTTCAATTCAGAATCTTCAACATTGCTATTTATGTTTCTCACAAACAGTGTCCTGGAAGGATGTTCGCCTAATGGATGCTCTCCAGCCATAGCACCGTTATGCATCCCCAGCAAATTGTTAAATAGTCCTCCAGAAGATTCAGAATTTTTCTGTCCAACAGATGAGCCATCATCACCCAAATCCATCCCTCCAACATTGCTAAAGAAATCCAAGTCCTCAGCATCATCCTCGCCAGTTGTTTCAATCAAACAATCAAGCCCATCAGTTACTACCCCAGCAAGTAAGTCATCGTCATCAGGGAGGAGGTTCCCAATGGTTTGGGCCTCCAACTCTTCAAGTGACTCAAAAACCTCCTCCTCCTCAAAGTGAGATGCAACAGTATCAACAGAATGGCCATATAGTGCATTGCTGGGAGAAAATCGCACTGCACGAATAAAAATATGTAAAATGATAACACTTGTAAGGCTAAAACTCATAAGGTAGAACGAGCCAAGAATTAAGCATGTTTAGAACTTTTTGCAAGTTCATTTAGATTTCAATTCAATGGCTGTCATTATCATCAGGTACAAATATGTGAAGAATTAATCAAGCGACTCACATTTCCTAGTAAATATATCTGATAAAGAACTCGAGAAAAGACTACTCTCATACTGAGAATTCATCATATTGACTTCATTATTCCGAGCAAAATAATTGGATGTTCTTTCAGCTCCAACAGCATGTCTATTCAGGATAAGACTTGCATTCTGGTCTCTCACAGGAAATGGATCGTGATTTTCCAGTGAGTTCTCTGCCAGGCAATCACCCATTGAAAGTTTTTCCACAGATGATGAAGCACCTGACATGTTGCAATAAACATTGAATGAAATAAATACCTTTTCAGTAGAGGAAAAGCCTTCTCACCAATTCAATAAGAAGCTTATTTAACAACACAACAGAACCAACTCAAGATAGCTCCATTTCCCAGAATATGGAAAAAATAAAATGCATAAATATATAGCCAGAATTAGATAAAATTCCCTTGATCCACATAGCTGGTTATAACTTTGCCCTTAATACTTCGAAAGTTTCAATTTCACCTCCAATCCATTTATTTGTTTGTTTCTTTTTGTAAAAGAAGCCCCTCCAAAAGCAATTCATGTCAAAATGCCTAGATGAATTAGTAGATTGAAGGTAATAAAATGTTTAGGGCAAAACTGAAACCAGTTATGAAGGTTAGAGCAGAATTGAAACTGACTGGACTGCAGAATTGATGACTTTCTCATCTGTGTGCACATTTGAGGTGGCTGAGCAGAGGGGATAAAACGATATTTAGTATTATTTGTCAAACTAAGCATGAATCTAACAACAATCAGTACTATAGACACTCAGGGAGGTAATGTTGCCACACTATGAACCAATGTGGGTTGACCGAGTGATCAAGTTATCAAAGGAAAAAGAAAAAAGAAAAAAAGAAAAAAAAAGCCAAATATACAAGGTATTTGACATGTGCCTCGTGCTGATCATACTTTGGGAGGTTAGGAGAGAGAAGACCAAGTCTCAAAAGAATTGATCGGGCAGTGATTGTATCATGATATCAACTGATCAAACAATCATCATAAGTAAACTCAAGACTAGGTATTTTAGATGCAAAACAAAAGCAAGATTCCCTTATAAAAATTGGTATATCGGAAATAGAAGACAATTAACGGATCCAAAAACTAAAATTTCAGTCGAACATCATCTAAAACAAACGATAGAATCTGATTCTGTTTTACAGTGGGATAATCACAGACAAGTATCCTCAAAACAATGCACTTTTTTATGCATTCAGTATCATGTTGATGATCCTAATTACGAGAATTAACTTCCATCGTGATTATATTTCTATATCGTTGTATTTTCCCTTATACCTGTTTGGAACCCCAGCATGCTACATTTCTCATAATAGATACAGAACAAGAAATATGTAGTGGTCAATGAATTAAGCAAAATTATATTGTTTCACTCAAGAATTCAACCATACAAAGTCACCGAATTCCTGAACTACACAATATAAAGATAAAAACTGAAGAAACTAAAAGTAACCAAAAAGAAGAGATAAAAGTGGTTGAAGAGTGATTTGTACTGACCACGGTGATTTGGCATACTAGCTGACTTCCAAACTCCAAGCTGCCCCTGGAATAAAGGGAAGAAAAAAAAAAAGAGAAATTGGAAGGAAACAGAAATGATGGAGGAGGCAGTGAGATTCAGATCGAGGAAAATGCAGTATGATGAAGTGCAAGAAGAAGCAATCTGGTATGCTAGAAAAAAGGTAGAGAGGAGGCAAGGGAGTATACCTCATCTGAATGACGTAAATCGTGGGAGAAGAAGGAAGATGAAGATAAAGCCTTGAGGTCCAATACTTCAGAGGGCATGATGGAACCGAAAAAGAAGAAATCGGAGGAGATAGAAGGATGAGTCAAAGAAGGTCCATAAAAAGGGCGGCAAAAATTGGAAGGCCGCTCCTGGAGCAAGCAATTGAAAAGGTTGGGTGGAGCCTACAAAAATGTAGAGATAGAGAAAAAATTGTTAAGGTAGAAAAAGAAGAGAAATGGGGGAATGAAAGAGGAAGAGAAGGAAAGGAAAAGGCGTTGTTGGGTTGAGATCTCGAGAGTAATGCAATGATGAGGTTGAAATGAAAGATGGAAGTTTGATAAATAGAAAAGGCGGGATGAAGTGAAAGCGAGAAGCAGCAAGATCGCAAAGGGAAAGCAGAGGAAGTAAATTAGGGGTAGAAACAGCAGAGCTTACCTTTAGAGAAGAGGGGGAAAAAAAGGTGGAAAAGCAGAGAAAGAAGAGAAGAGAATAGAATAGATTAGGGCATAAGGGTGCAGGTGCAGTGGGGGGAGGTTGAAGAAGGAATGATGGAGTAGTAGGCAGGTGTGGCGTGGAAGATGGTGGAAAGGGCTCGATCCTCAAATTTGGCGCATTGCAGGTTGGGCGGTTGAAGCTCGTTCATGGAGTATCGTGTCGGTGGTTGAGGCAGGCAGGCATTGCAGAAGGTTGGGTCGAAAGCTGTATGTCCCTCCAGAGCTGGAAGGGGAAGCGCAGGAGGAGGAAGAATTGAGGGAATTCCCTGGCGAGATTGGGAGGCCTCGCCTGAGAAAAGAGAGAGAATTGGGTTTCTGTTTTGGTTTTGTTGTTTGTTGATGGAGAAGGAGAAGGAGAAGGAGAAGGAGAAGGGGGAGAAGGGGAAGAAGAAGACGAAGAAGACGAAGAAGAAGAAGAAGAAGACGAAGAAGACGAAGAAGAAGAAGAAGAAATGGTTAGAAAGAAGTTGGGTGGGGGGTGAAAAAGGTGATTTTAACGCCGTCAATTTTTCTGATTTCTTTTGTTTTCTTTGTGCGGTCGCAGTAAACGCAAGTCCCCCCCTTCCCTTCTCCTCCTCCCCTTCTATTTCTTTTTCTCACGTCTTTCCCAATTAACTCTTTCACCTCTCTCCCCCCTACTTAACCTTAAACAACTTTTCTTCTCCTTTTCTCTTTTTCTTTTTTCTTTTTTTTTTTCTTTTTTCCTTTTCTTTTTTTTCTCGTCCTCCCAATTTAAATTCTAAGTTTTTTTCAACTTTGAAAACAAAAAAAAAAAATAATAATAAAAGGGTGTAATTATTATTATTAGAAATGGGAGTTTTAGTTTGATAAAAATTGAGGTGGGAAAAAGTCGGAAAAAAGAAAAAAGAAAAAGAAATGGGAGTTTTAAGTTGGGATGGGAGGAGTGAAGAAACCTGCGGTGCTGCACCACATACACACAAAATACACTCTCACTCATTCATTTCTTGTTTCTCCTTTTCTAATTATCATGTCCTTTTCCCTTTCCCACTTCTCCCCCATTATTTCTTCATTATTTTCCTTCCAATCATTTTTTATTATTTTTTTATTATTCTTATTATTATATACCCAGGAATACAGTTTCCGCCCAATGGGCCTTCCAGAATGGGCCTTCCGGAATGGGCCTTCCATAATGGGCCTTCCGGAATGGGCCTTCCAGAACGGGCCTCGCCTAACTCTCATTTTGTGACGCTCCCCCGACTGCCCATCGTAATTCACGTGCAACGTTAAATCCCTCCCATTATTAACCTTCTTTTTTTTTCTTTTTCTTTTTTTTTTGTCTATCCATCTCCTCCTTTCTTCCGACTCTCTATACATATATCATTCACTTATTCATAATTCTTTTTTTAAATTTAAAAAAAAAAAAAAAGGAGCTTATACTAACTAAATCATACTTAACACTCATCATTCCCAAACATAATTTTTGAAAGCATCCCATTTTTTGGAGAACTTTATACAAAAGAATCGAGTAAAATAAAGTAAAAAAAAAACGATTTTAAGGGAAACTGTTAAAATATAGACACAAATATTAGTCCTTGTCTGCCACTAAATAAAAATTTAAAAAAAAAAAAAAAAGTGAGTGATTAGGAGATAAAGCAAAAGTGTGGTTATGCTTAAGACAAAAGGAAAGCTGTGTTTATGTAATTGGAAATTGATACCATTCCATATATCATATATGATACACACACACCCTCTTTTATAAAATGAATGCCATCCATTTATATATCTTCTTTTATGCTCTCTCACTATTTTTACCACTCAAATTCACCGCACCTTCTTTTACTCTTCTAAAAATACCTTTAAAACATTTTCAAATGCTTCATTTTCCAAAATCCCCTTCAAATCGTTGTGTTAATTGGTGTACACCATTGTTATGAACTGCCAGAAGAAACAAAAGAAAAATTAGGATTAGTTGGATTATTGCAAAAAAATAGGTAAAAGTTGATGAGTTTGGGGAATTAGGTATTGGGAGCGTTTACGGGAAAGATAGGGTTTGTTGGGAATGGGATATTAGGACGCAATTTCAAACCCTAATCCCCCAATTCTCCAGATCACGGAAAAGGCCAAAACACTACACGACAAAAAAAAAAAAAAAAAAAAAAAAAAAAAAAAAAAAAAAAAAAAAA